AACACGGAAGGCGACGCACTGTGACTTCGGGAGGCGGTGCATGGTCAATGCGGAAGGCGAAACATGGTGAATGTTGGAAGTGACACATGGCCAACATGGGATGCGAAGCTTGATGCGTGCGGAAGGCGGTGCATTGTCAATGCCCAAGGCGACGCACGGTAACGTCGGGAGGCGGTCCCTGGGAGCAACGTCTTCAACACATGGTACATGTGGGAGGCGGCAACAGGTGACTTCGGAAGGCGGTGCAACGGGAGGCAACACATGGTGAGGATCGGAGGCGGCACGTTGTCACTGCGGATGGCGGCGAACAATGAATTCGACAGGCTGTTCGTGGTCAACACGTTTCAACGCGGGAGGCAACATCAACACGGGATGCGACACATGGTGGAGGCGGAAGGCGGCACATGGTCAACACATGGTTCGCGAGGCACTGCATGGTCAGTGCAACACATGATTGAGGGAGGTGGCTTTTTCATCAACTGGCCATCACTCCAGCAAGTGCACCGAACATGCTGAGAAACGAAACATGCCTGACTCAGGTCACACTGTTGCTAACTGTCAGCCTGAACGCAAGGTGCATCTCTTGCTTGAGCAGCTGGTGCATTTCTGCTGCGCCGTACAACTGCAAGTTACAAATAAAGTAGCAGTCAGTTGCGATCATTGCTCCCCTGAGACCCTTCAAGAGAACAACACATTGACAACAAGCAATGTTTAAATAATTGCAACAACACACTGGGCCATAGGAAGCCACTGCTAGCTACAACGGCTGGGATGATGAGGCAGGCTCAGGCTCACAGCACAAAAGACCGGCCAGTCTCGAGCTCAGCTCGAAACCACTTGGCCGTTTGGATGGCAAAACGTCTGTGAGCTTCATGATGAGAGCCGCGGCGTCTGCGTTGGCCACACGTGCCTCAACTCTTGAATCGAAATTCCGCTTGATTGCCTCGCGCTCCACCATCAACGTCCCTTTCATGGCAGGCACACGCATACCATCGTCAACCAAAAGGCGCCCGGTGCCAGTAGTCCACACATCAAAGGCCACGCAGCCAAATGCCCATGATTCCGTAAAACGGCTCACCATGACCTTACGCATGCACAACCACTCATCACGCAACTAGTCATGGAAGCACAAAATAAGCACATAACTAAGTCACGAAGCAGTGTTCGCATCGCCGTGCCACAGCTCCACAGCCCGGTACAAAGGTGAATACACATTCTTGCCTGACGCCCGCAGACAACCATCCTTGCCGGCTCGTCTGGCCACGCCGAGGTCACACCTAAATAGATGTCACAGAAGCCCACATCATGACAAGCACCGGAAAGGCCTGTTTCAAACATGGTGTTGCGCACGCATGATGCGTCCTAGGCACAGCTTTGCTTGACATGGCGCAGTCTCATCCGGATAGGTCCCAGAGATCAAGATATTGGCAGGCTTGAGGTCCAAGTGAAGAATGTTTTTGGAATGAAGGAAGCCCAAACCAGAAGAGACCTGCCACAGAAGGTTCCACTTCATCTCATCTGGAATATTCCCAAGTTCGCTTTCAAGGCAAGTACTCGCACATTCCATTACCATGGCAAAGTGCTCTCCCTGTCCGATCAAGGCGTAGACTGTCACGATATTTGGATGACGAAGCCCTTCAAGCATCTTATACTCTTCGCATAGTTCGGGCGGCACGCCGACGGGCTCTCCTTCAGCCGGCTCAAACTTTGCCATTTTGAGCGCGTATTGAAATCCACCTTGGTCGACCTGAGCAGGCCAGGAGCAACTCAGCGTCCGAAATAGTAGTAACAGAGGGTTAAACAACTACCAACATGACAAGCAGGCACAACTGCAAACACTGGTATCTTGCTATTTTTCACCGGCAAGACACTGCCTTGCAAACTTTGCCCCATGACCCTTGTCCCAGAACACGAACACATGTCAGAGCTCTTCCAGTGTGCCAGTGAAGCGCTGGCGGTAAGTTGCACTGAACATTTGCCTCTGCAGATTCACTGGCTGTGTCGGGCTCACATTTGGAAGCAGGTGGTGAGCTTGCCGGCTGCAACTTTTTGCGCGCAGCGTGCAGTTCCTTGACCTTGGCGCTGGCGCGGTCCTTGTAGATTTTCTTCTCATCCTCGTTCATCGTTTTCCTGATGGCAACTGTCTAGCATTGCACACCTCCAGTGCTTCTGGGCTAGGGGATGTGGCGGGAGGCGGACAACAAGAAGGCAAACATCACATTGACATGTCACTCCAAGTGTCCACTTTTGGATAAGCATGTCTTTGGTAACAAACGGCTTCTTGCCCCTGATGCGAATGCGAGCACCTTTCTTCACGCCCGTTGACACCATGTGTGAACAGAATAATGCATAGGAAGACGGCGCGCGGCTGGCGGCAGAAGACATTGCGGCTGACTACCTTGCCCTGCGTTGCTACTGTTCATCACACCATGTCACCTGAACCTTCTTAGATGTATATATTTGCCTGATTGTGTCCACACTGCTGACATGCACGAACGGCTTGCCAAAAGCTACACTCACACACGCGCCAACAGCAGTGCGCTGGAGGAGGGGGAATTGAACATGCCGCAATCCGGACGAGCCTTCACATGACTGTCGTGCAATTGCAAACGGAAGGTTTGCCAGCTTCACAGCTGTTACATACTGTTTTCCGGAAAACTGCCAAGCTGCAGCCCAGGCAATCAAAGCAACCAGCTGTCCAGCTGCAGCCCAGGTAGTCAAAGCGGCTGTTTCCCGGAATTTGCGGGAAACAGCTGGTTGCTTTGACTGCCTGGGCTGCAGCTCAGCTGTTTTCCGGGAAACAACAGCTGCCTGCAGCTGCATCCCAGGCACAAAGCAACCAGCTGTTTCCCGGAAAACTGCTGAGCTGCAGCCCAGGCAGTCAAAAACAACCCAGAAAACTGCTGAGCCGCAGCCCAGGCAGTCAAAGCAACCAGCTGCTTCCCGGAAAACTGTTGAGCTGCAGCCCAGACAGTCAAAGCAACCAGCTGTTTCCCGGGAAACTGCTGAGCTGCAGCGCAGGCAGTCAAAGCAACCAGCTGTTTCCCGGAAAACTGCTGAGCTGCAGCCCAAAACAACCCAGAAAACTGCTGAGCCGCAGCCCAGGCAGTCAAAGCAACCAGCTGCTTCCCGGAAAACTGTTGAGCTGCAGCCCAGGCAGCTGCAGCCCAGGCAGTCAAAGCAACCAGCTGTTTCCCGGAAAACTGCCAAGCTGCAGCCCAGGCAGTCAAAGCAACCAGCTGTTTCCTGCTGAGCTGCAGCCCAGGCAGTCAAAGCAACCAGCTGCTTCCCGGAAAACTGTTGAGCTGCAGCCCAGGCAGTCAAAGCAACCAGCTGTTTCCCGAAAAACTGCCACGCTGCAGCCCAGGCAGTCAAAGCAACCAGCTGTTTCCCTGAAAACTGCCGAGCTGCAGCCCAGGCAGTCAACGCAACCAGCTGTTTCCCGGGAAACTGCTGAGCTGCAGCCCAGGCAGTCAAAGCAACCAGCTGCTTCCCGGAAAACTGCTGAGCTGCAGCCCGGGCAGTCAAAGCAACCAGCTGTTTCCCGGAAAACTGCTGAGCTGCAGCCCAGGCAGTCAAAGCAACCAGTTTTCCGGGAAACTGCTGAGCTGCAGCCCAGGTAGTCAAAGCAACCAGCTGTTTCCCGGGAAACTGCTGAGCTGCAGCCCAGGTAGTCAAAGCAACCAGCTGTTTTCCGGGAAACTGCTGAGCTGCAGCCCAGGCAGTCAAGGCAACCAGCTGTTTCCCGGAGAAAGGTAATTTTCACATTCTGCTGTAAGTATTACCCGGGCTGCGGCCAGGGAACGGTGAGGTAATCTACCGTTTCCCGGGAAACGGCTTACCTTCAGCTCGGCTCCCGCCTCAAGCTCAGCAGTTTCCCGGGAAACAGCTGGTTGCCTTGACTGCCTGGGCTGCAGCTCAGCAGTTTCCCGGAAAACAGCTGGTTGCTTTGACTACCTGGGCTGCAGCTCAGCAGTTTCCCGGGAAACGGCTCACCTGCAACCAAAAGGATTGCAGGCAACTAGCTCTCCCGCGTAACGTCTGATTGTGAGCCTGCAAGAACGCTGATGCTGTACAAGCTACTGTTTTCCGGGCGACGGCCCAACACAAGCGCAAATGTGAGAGCAGCAAAACCAGCCAACAGAAACAACATTTCTCTTGGCGTTTAAGCTGGGTCCGTGCATGGTCACCTTTTGACAGTTGTACTCCCTGGGTTCGGCTTGCGTGCGAACTTTTGAGAACCCAAGCTTGCTCGGCAATGTTCCGCACATGTGTCCTGTCCTACACAACCTGCTTGGCCATTTGCGCGCTCAAACTAACTACAAATCACAAGTGCACTTGCTAGACACTCAGTCAAAGCCAAGCCCCTCGGATTCGTGCAAAAACAAGGACGCCCCCAGAGAACCCAATAAACAATAGCATCTGCGGAAGTCGGCACAATGTTGGATGTCAGTATATGTCAGTCACATTGGCAAAGACAAGTCTTCTTCTAACCTCCCGCAACAGCAATACCCGTCCAAACATCCACAGCTGAAGCAGGGCAAGGGGGGCTGCCTGGAGCCACACTGCCGACATTTGCTGACACAGCCGCAGGCACCTTGGCGCTTGGCGGGAAAAACGTCCTATTGATCTCTCGTTTGCCGGGCCCTCATGGTTCACTTGTCAAGCAAATCAACCCGAATCATGGCAAGGGCAGTCAATCACATCACATGGCTGTGGAACTATTTTCCCCTCCGTAATATCACTGGCGCACATCATGTCTGACCTAATGCGAAGGCGGCAACATGCAAAATAGCCATGCCATGGCCCGAGCCCAACATCGCACAATACGCATATTGTGCCACCCACAGGCTACACTATGACCAAACGGCACACGGCACATTGCCCAAGCCAAGCTCTAGCCTAGTCCTACCAAACTACACAGACTATATAAGGCCGCGCTTTTGCGGACACAAACCTGCCGGCTTCAAACAAACTGGGAAAGCCTTCTTCTGCGACGCCTGCTTTGGGGCGGACTTCTTCTGCGATGTCTTTTTCAGCAATGACTTCTTCTGCGATGCCTTCTTGGCGACCTTCTTTGCGCCTGATGGCTTCTTCTTCTTCGCGGCCTTCTGCGGGCTCCATGATGTGGACACCACTTGGAGCAGGCCGAACGAAGCCCTGGGAAGGGCAACATGACACATGCGGCTACGACCTTTCCCCGGTAGCCAAAAGCCTAGATGTTGAAGCGCATTCATGGGCAAAAACTATCTGTTCCAACTGTTGTCCCAAAAAAAGGATTGGGATGACGCGAGCTTCAAACGCTTTAGGGGTGCACAGCAACATGCATCAATGCAACATCTCCAGCGTCGCCATTCTTTCAGACAACGCGAGCTTCAAACACCTGTTCAATCAGAGCTTCAAGGTCTGAAGAACACATCCAACACGAAAGATAAAATCGATCCCGGTCATAAGCACCGCTGACAGGATGATGAACACATGATGGAAAGACCACCTTCATCCCAGCACTGCCCATCAACAATGAGTAAAGCCCCAGGAGGTCAAGGCATGTTAGCTGAACAAATGGAGTTGCCGCATCCTGAAAACAACCAACAATGATGAAATTTGGCATTTGTAAGAAACTATAACTTTCGCATGACTAGTCCTACCCCATCGTGCCAACACAGGCAAATTGGTGCTCCACTGTGAAGAAACAATCCCAGGTAGCAATACGCTTCTTTTTGGAGCCCCAACTTCAACTACTGGGTTGCACATGAAGTTCGAGCGAGGTCCACAATACATGCCGCAAATCAAGTCAGATACCATGAGTGAGCCCTTCAAAGTCGGTCCTTGTCATTTGCACCAATGACAGCCAGTTCCCTCAAGTTTTGATTTTGACGGTTTGTGTCATGGTGGCCGCTGTGGCAATCGCAAGCCGTGAAACATGTGTTCCATCAAACATGGTGTCTCATCATTCGCACCTTGCTGCTTTCTGCGCATGCAACAGTTCCATGGGCATCCCTACAAAGACGTGCAAGGGGGAATGCGGCAAATCCCTCTAATAATTGTACCAACGTGTTGAACAGCATTCAGTCACAAACAAACGAGCGGCCGATTGCAAGAAGGAGCACCAACACATGTCACTCAGCCATGGTAGTCAGCGCCATCTTTACAATTCAAACAGAGTGCCAGCGCAACCGCAAGAATCTATCAGTCATGACTGGCTTCCCAAACTGCTGCCCTGCCTCAAGTGCACGAACGTGCTGGCGTGATGCTTTCTGGTGGGATCAGACTTTGCAGACGTGTAGCCCATGGCCACTGCCAACGCGGCGCCAGCCGCAACAACATGCTGTGTGTTCCCAACCAAGTTCCGCAAGCCGTGTTCGCTGACATTCTGGGGGATCTTGAAAAGGCCCTCCTTGATCGGGTAGCCGTGCAAGGCCTCCAGCACTCAGTTGATAGTAACATGGGAAAAGCAACCCAGTAACACAGAAAAATCAGACAGCCGATGAGCACAAGCCGAGGAACCAAGCCGGCAGTCGCAGGCAGCAACCGAGCGGACTGCAGCGGGGCACCCGCAGGAACGACCGCCATGCGCGTCGAGCGCGCCCAGGTTGGGGAAACATCGCTGCCAACCCTTGCAAATCGTACACTTTGTGACACGTCGCAGAAAAACGTCTGCTTGTCGACCCGCTTCATGCCGACTGCTCTCAGCACGGCCATCTCCCGCACACTCAGCAGGCTGCCTGAGCCCCATTTGGATTGCAACGCCTTACTAATTGGGACTGGCTCGACATTTAACTTCAACGACGATTCTTGGTTTGCTGCCTCGTGGGCTTTGCTCTGCGCTTAACAACGGGCTTGAGTCTGAGTATGAAACATTAGACCTGCATGTGATCCCAGTTTCAAGCTTGTAGCTGGCAATGGTATGGATCTTCAACGGTGTGCAACAAATGCGCTCTTGAGATTGAGAGGCTCTCAGGGTCACCTGCAGTCGTGTCGTCGAAAGCGCTTGTAGCTCAAGCCGCCCAAATCCACTATGAACATGCCCCGAAAGCAGTAGGTATAAAAGGCCGTAAGATCGCTAACAAAAAATGGAGCTTGCACTAGAACAAGCCCAACTGGTTCACTGGCCTCTCATGTACGGGGCGAGGATGCTCTGGATCGTCGAAGAGGACTCGAGGCCATGCCTTGACAAGCTTTCAAACATAGCGCTTCCCAAGCTGGCCAGCTCCGATGGCGTGTGCGTCAACGCGTTCTCTTTCCTGATGAGCAGGAACCACAGTCGCGGCCTCCGTGTCACCTCCCCAAGGTCCGTCGGGCAAAACTGCACCTGAGAGAGAATGATGATCCATGTGAAGCGTGCCAGCAACTATCACAATCAACATCGCGCAACGGCAAGATGTCCGGTCTGGCTCTATTCATTCAACCCATGACAAAACGGTAGCCGAAGGTCCAGGATATGAAACAGGCGAGACGTGGCAACAGCTGGCTTTTAAATCCCCAATCTCAACCCCTCATCCCGTGTCTAATTCCCCGTCCCCAAGCCCCTCATCCGCCCCTTCGCCACATCTTCTCCAAATCTCATCATCTTCTTGTGGCTTGTCTGCCCCTGTTGTTCTTCGCTTTGAAGTTGTCCATTTCAACACACCAACAAACAACCCTTCCTTCATCCATGCTCCATGACCCACCCCTTTCGCCCGTAAAGGAAGCTTCCCTTCAACATTGACCAATGATTCACCCACTCCTTGCCCACACCCGAATCTCGACTTGCTACCCAAGGAAAAGTGACGCCTCAATTTTGTAGGTTCAAGGGAAGCTACTATTGTAGCAAAACCTGTTGAGACAGGGCAACGAAGTGGAGCCAACTTCGGTAGAGGTAAACGATGCGGCAGCCCTGTTTGGCAAAAGCAAGTTATGTAAAGAAAGCACATAGCAGGCCTTTGGTGACAGTAAAGTCATGTAGAAACCTATCGTCTCAGGGAATGTCAAGTGAACACCTTGCCCGGGAAAGGACTTTTTTGAACAAGGGGTATATTTGTGTAACACACCTATTACTCAATAACAAGCTCTGCAACAGAACCAGGGGTAATGGCATGTCACGCAAAACCTGTTGAGCAACGTAAAGTTCGTATGTTACAGAAAGAGTAAGAGAGAAGCAACCTGCGGCAAGCCGGTGGCAAACAAGTGGACGAGGTGAGGAAAGCTGGCAGTCGCGTTTGGTAAAAAGAAAGATCTGGAACAACCTGTTGCGAGACGAAACACAGTGTAGCAAAAACTGCTGGGCATAGAAAACTTATAACACACTGGGCAATGAAGTTGTTGTTTGTGCGCATGGTGGGCTTGGAACAGGCAGTCGGCAAATGCTGGCGAACTAAGCACCATGCAGCAATCACGATACTTGCGACATCACACAGGCAGAAAGTAGACTAACCAATGAACACGTAACCAGAATCAAGTGGTAGTCGCTCGCCACCTCCCGCTTCATGATCCTCTTCACACCGTCCAAATGTGGGAGCAGCCCGGCCACATTCTCGAGCACAGCAAAGCGTGGCTGCGAGAGCTTTACTGTGCGCAGAACACACTTCCTAAGTGTTGACAAGCAAACAATCATGTCTCTCAGCCTTGTCAGCAAGGCAAAATGAGTTGCAATTCAATCCAACACAGCAGTAACAAATTCCTACATATCATAAAATGGAAACAAAGACCCACTTTGTATACAAGAAGCAGGGGCTTCCGCCGATTGGAATCCCGGAGTCCAGCCCTTAGCCCAAGCGTGCTGTAGCTTTGGCAGGGAAATCCAGCCGCGTAGCCCCCTCCACGCAAAGCCCCCAGCTGCGGCGGCGGCCGCTTGGTGAGGTCGTCGAAGAATTCCAAGGGCTTACCTTGGCACCACAAGTACACCCAACCTCGCTACGTGCCATTGCGCAAGTGTGAAAGCAAGCAACACCTGCTTAAAGCCAGCTTTAATCAAAGAGGTGTGGCACATCTCAGAAAAGAATGCTCTAATCCATGCTGTGCGCCGTTGCATTCGATCACGGACTTGGCATTGGGGCATAGATCTGACGCCCACAGCTGTTCCACTTTGAAGCCCATGCCATGCAACGCCCACACAGGGGCCTGGCAGGGAAGAGTGGTAAGGCAAGTCATGTTCCTTGGGCAAATGTCACTGGTGACTAGGATGACCACCTTGGCTCCACAATTGCTTCGCAACAAAAGCGCTTGCAGGCCTACACAACCATATTTGGTTTGACCGTACACGTCGCGCCTCAAGACCGCTGCAGTCAGTGGCGAAACGAATGTGGCTGCCGCATAGGTTCCCCCTTTCATCATGATAACCGTGCTGGCGAAGCCATGTTGCCCGCGCGCTGGCAACAAAGTGCAGCATGACTGCTGGAAGTAGTCGCACGGTAGCTGCAAGGACGCGGCAGAGCTGAAGAGGGCAAGCGGAAGACGGACAAAGCATGAACAAGTCATGCATTAACAGCCGGAAGGCGAGCCCAACACAATGCTCTCAAGTCCAGCCCACTCCGGAAAGCATTGCGCACCGGAAGAACAATCCAAAAAACCTGCAAACGACTTGACGATAAGCAAAACCTAAGCAGTGTGGGCGAGTCCATGCCTCTCTCTCTCAATTGCAAATCAAACCAGCTAGGCGAATGGCGCTTTTGCAAGGCTGTCTCCCATCTGCCCCTAGCACAGCCGGCTTGGCAGCAACTCATTGCAAGGAAATGCCAAACAAGCAAGACGTCGGAAAGATATCCATCGTGCACATCCTTGTTGCCTTTCTTAAGTGCGCAAAGTGGACACCACGATGCATGCTCACATCTCGGCGCACCGTGTTGGCTGAAAGGCAACATGCGTCTAACTCTTTCGCTACAAGTCGTCTATCAACCAAGCAGGTCTAGGGAGGCGCCTGTTTGAAGACAATCACCTTTTTCAATGTTCTCGAACTGCTTGAAAAGACCGCTCTGAAACCGATCTCAACCACAACAAACACCAAGCTAACCTCCACATGACCTCAAACATCCTCAAGCCTGCATGGTGAAAATTGGGAAACATCTCCTGGTCTGGTGCAGCAAACATCTCAAACCGTCCTCCAAGCATAAACGCATATTAAACGCTCCGAAGGTCTCAAAAGAACTGACAACTATCCCGAAATGACTTCGAACGTAACATGAGAGCACATATCAGTGCCTTCCAAACTTGGAACCCGACTTCCATGCAAAAGTCCTTTTGCACTAAACAAGTTCACGCCGACACCATTCTAGCACGGACACAAGCTGATAACGACAATGTAGACATGCAAAGGTGGCTCGCATTTGCAGGCATTAAGTTGTGTGAGGTCAGTTTGAGGCGAGTTTGAGATGAATCCCATGCCTCTCTAGGTCATTATTGTCAACAGGCGTTCAACTGTGTCAGTCCAATTTAAAGAAGATATCCTCAATTCACGGAAAACTAGCTCCGTCATATCCTCAAAGGGTGCCCGAATCTGCAGTTGGAATAGCCTCAGTCTTGATCTAACAGAATGGAAGAGCCGCATCCCAGCCCCGCTACACACCTTGCCAAGCTGTGAAAGTATGATTGCCCCTTGTTGCCGGGAAGTAGTGATTCAACGATTGACTTCCACCTCACACTTCCGCGCGCCTGAGTTTTTAGCACTAAAAGGCCAACCCGCGAATGCACAGAGTGTGGCCGTGGCTGAGTTACGATGGAGAAGACAGAGTGAAGGGAAATCAAAGCCGCAATGGGCAATGCTCAAGAAGATTGCTTTAACGTAGGCGGCCCAATGACAAACGCTTAGATTGAAATTCATTCCCTCTCAGTTGCCAAGCCTTTCCGAGCGGCGCTAGTTTCGGTAAGACAAGGCGCTACAAGCTTGTGTGGCTTTTGTTGGATCTTTGATCAGGATAAGACTCCACGCACAAGTAACACGGACCCTTGCACGAAACATATGCTAGAGAAGCCCTGCGAACAACCCCGAGGATTGGTCAACAGCCAGGACACTGTTGTTGCAAATCAATCTTATCAAGCTCAGGCAATCCTCCCGGTGGTTCCCAGAGACACACCCACGCCAGCACGACCTTGACCGTCAGCCACTGCTGCGTGGCTCGACCTGGGAGCAGCCGGGAGTGCCCCCAGAAACAAGAGGGTGGAATGTTTGCTTTTAAAGCAACAATCCTCCCGGTGGTTCCCAGAGACACACCCACGCCAGCACGACCTTGACCGTCAGCCACTGCTGCGTGGCTCGACCTGGGAGCAGCCGGGAGTGCCCCCAGAAACAAGAGGGTGGAATGTTTGCTTTTAAAGCAACTATCACCTCCCCCCCAAGAAGCGTCTCATGTGACTCCACACTCCAAGACTCACGCAACATGAGATTTGCTGAGTTGGCCCTGTTTCAAAAACTCAATATATCTAGCTGGCTTAGGGCTTCCGGGGCACAAAGCACCATGGTCGAAAGGTCAGGCGCCGCGAAAACTTGGGGAGCCGAATTCAGAATTCCTGAAAGGGGTGTTTGGTGGCATCCTACTCGTTTCCATGCCTTCTGCCTCCTAAACCTTTAAACCTGCCCGCCTCAACATGAACATACGAGACATGCAGCAGGCGAAGGATCCGTAGGCCGCAGTCGCCCATGCCAGCAGTCAGTCTGCTGCGATTTGTTCTTGTCGACCTGAAGCTTTGGCAGCGTAGTTCGAGTTCCATTGAATTGGACTCTACCGGAATGTGTCCCCGATGGTCTCTGCCAACAGCGTCAGGAGCCTTGTCACCCCAGTCAGAAGACGAGTCTTCTTCCAGATGGTCAGGGGTGTGAAGTAGGGCTTGATGCACCCCAGGCAAAACGCCTTCATGGGGCGTGCATCCCACCAATTGTTCTCATCGTCTGCCAGCAGCCCGAAACGATCGTCGGCCCCTAATCAAGGAATAGAGTTTGAACCAGGGGGGGGCCTACGAGCTCTTATGAGCTCACCCGCTTGCAAAAGGCCCCTTCACAAACACCAAAAAGTACAGGGAGAAGCGGGAGACGGCGCTGGGGGCGGCCCCTCCCCACTACAAGAACTAGCGTTTTGACAAGACCTCCCGAAAACGGGCCCCGCAACAATCCCTTAGGTACCTGAGCGGGCTGGGCGGCGCGGGGGAGTCAGGAGGTGAGAGGGGGCCACGACAAACACATGCATTCAGACCCCAAACAACACGCGCTTAGCATCGCCAACAACTTATGGAAAACATGGGGGCCACGACAAGCGACACTGCACAACACGGCTGACCGCCACCGGGTCCGTGACAGGTTCAATCGACTCAGAAGCCCTCAATAATATCGCCATTACCCCAACGCTTGCTCACGCAAACAATCGTTGCCCATCCCCATCTGTGCTCGGCCAGGGGGGCGCAAATGTATCCCGGCTGAAATGCAAAACCACCCCTGTCAAACACCGATGTGATGTGATGTAGCTCATAAACTGTTAAGCCAAGCTTAAAGGAGATTGAAATTAGATGAACTCCATGCTGCTGTTCGAGATCCCGGCCTCCTTGATTCCAAAGAGTAAGCATGCCCCAATGAATGCGGAAGGCAAGCCTTATCTTCTTCAAACTGACGCCGCAAGATCGGGCAACACATCCCTTACTGTTGAGGCATCAAATGGAAACCTTGAAGAACTAACTTTAATTTAATCAAGCCGAAGTCACACAACTCAACTCGGGAGACGGCGGCCGCAACCAACATACAGCGATGGGCGCCATACCAGAACAACCAACGCATGGAACAATTGGGAGGCACTGTAAATAAATCTTCATCAAAGAATGACCGGCTATTTCAAAAACCTTGGGTTCAACTCAAAAACCCTGGAATCCACATCCCTTAAGTTCACCTCGAAGACCCTGGAATCTATCCCAAACAATGTCTGGTTGCATGACATATTTCCCTCAAAAAATCGAAGTTCACCTCAAAAACCCTAGAATCTACCTTAAAATGACCTGAAACAGGGTCTGGTCACACGACAAACTCCTTCAAAAACCGTTAAGTTCACCTCGGAAACCCTGAAATTTACCTCAAAATGACCTCAAACAGGGTCTGGTCATACAGCACTCCTCCCTCAAAACCTTTCTGTTGACCTCCCTAACCCTGGATTCTACCTCAAAATGATCTAAAATAGTCACTGGTCACATGAAAACCCTCCCTCACAAAACCTTGAAGTTCACCTCAAAAACCCTGGATTCCATCTTAAAATAAGCCACATCAAACCCCTCCCTCAAGAACACCTCAAGAACTTTGGATTCCATCTCAAAATGGCCTGAAATAGTGGCTGAGGGCCAAAAGATGAAGACACCTGTAACTCCGCTGAAATGAGTCCCCTCTTAAAAACTCCGAGTTCGCCTCAGAATGACCTGAAACAATCACCTGGGGCTCACCTCAAAAACCATGGTTGGTGACATGAGAGCTGGCTCCTCCTCCCCCCGCCAAGGCTTTCAGTTTAACTCGCAGTTTGAGGGCTCTCCACAAACATGGCCCTGCTTGCTTCTGCGTCAAAAAAAAAAACTGCACGAGATAAACTCCGCTTTGAGGGCCCGGATCCAGAATTCGAATGTGTGAGAGTTCCCGAGCGTGCCTCAGCGCGTGCGCTGAAAAAGCAAGCCTTGTCTTGTTCAAACTGACGCCTCAACAACAGAACGGCCCATCTTTTTGAAGTTCAAAGCTGCGAGTGTAACAACGGACGACACATGACGAGGGCCTCATGGACCAGATCGGGCAACACATCCCCCACTGTTGAGGCAGCATCAAATGAAAACCGTCAAGGACTAATTTTAATCGGTCTGAATCAAGTCACACAACTCAACTCGGGAGACGGCGGCCGCAACCAACATACAGCGATGGGCGCCATACCAGAACAACCAGCGCATGGAACAATTGGGAGGCACTGAAAAAACC